AACATCAATGGTGAGAAAAAAAAATCACTGATCAGTTGCCTCCTGCACCCCCTGTACTGAGGATCAAGCCCGAAACCTGACTGGGAATCAAATCATGACCTTCTGGTTCATAGATCGATGCTCAACCACCGAACCCCACCAGCTGGACCCCATTTTTATCAATGCCAGGCACATGGGGCACATTGGCAAGGTATCACTTCTACACGAAAGTCTGAAATTGCCCAAACTCCTTAGCAGCTAATAAGTTTCTGGATAGTAATTCGTTTCTGCTGATTGAATGCCCTTGCACAATATTTTGAAGGTCAAAGTGGGGCAGAGGTGTCTTCCGCAGTTTGGACTGTTTGCTGCTGGTGATCATGTTTGCGGAGATGTGGAGGTTTTCTGCAGCGGAATCCGGGCTGTGCACAGGCAGTTCTGGCAGAGGCAGTGACCTGTTTGTGGGAGCTGGAGGGCACTTGCAGGGGTCACAGCTGTGCCAGGGTGTCCTAGAATTCAGTTGTGGCTGAGGGGCAGCTCCTCCCGCTGGCCAGGAGTCTTTCCTGGGGGCCCAGCCTCATACCTATTCCTCCAGCTTTCCGATGATCTCCCAAGAACCCACTACCAGTGCTAAATTCTTTCTTGCCTGAAATAGCAAAGATCAGAAAACATTTTGGATTCTCTACTGTCAACGAGAACAAAGCTGCACAGGGTCAGGTCTGAGAAGTGGGTGAGGTGTTGTGGAAGGCTCCCTTCTTGGACTCTTAGCTTCCTCTTCTGTAGAACAGAGGCCAAAGATTATTATCTGTTCATTGTTACTGAAGACCTTGGCAGCTGTGTTTCCCGAAGATGGCCACAACATTTCCCATTCCTCCTGTGGCCTTGCCACTTTCCACCACGTCCTCTCTCTTGAAGCAGGGCTGACCTCTGACTCCCTGGCAGTCGGTACACTGATCACGTGCAGAATTCCAAGGCCAAGGCTGAAAAGGCGAGGGTCTGCAGCCCTGCCCACTCCACCAGGGTTTCCAGCTCAAGCCCTACTCACGCCTCTCTGGGGCGCTGGATGGCGTGGGGCTTGCTCACCCTGCTGACTCCCCTCTGTCTGCTGTGCCACCCTAGCGCCTTGCTTGCACCATGGCCTGCCTGCTGGTGCTGCTGGGCCCAGCAGGCAGGGTAAGTGCCTGGGTTGGGCCTCATGTCTCCTGGCTCCTGGGCGCCACCCTGAGCTCAGCCACGCCACTGCCCCTATTCCTGGGATGCTCCGGCCTGGACCAGATGCCCAGCTGCTGGGACTGCGGCAGCCACCAGGCAAGCCTCTCATCCCATTCCTGACTTGGGTGCCCTGATCCCAGGTCCACTTCCACCAAAGGAGAGCTTTTCCTGCACAACTGCCCAAGACTGAGAACCTCCAAGGTCCCTAGACCCCAAACTTCTGCTAGCCAAGGCTGTTGGCCGGCTGACCCTGTCTCCAATCGGGGTGTTGGAGGCGGATTGGGATCTGGGCTGGCTGAGGATGAGGGGTGGGAGGGTGGGGGGGGTATTGGGGCCCAGATGAGACTGGTTGGCTGCCACAGTGCGCATCATAGCTACTGGTCATTCTGCTGGAACCGTCGTTGGGCTTTTACACCAGTATATAGACTAGAGGCCTAGTGCATGAATTTGTGCCTTGGTCTGATGCTACCTCCTCACCAGCTCCACCATCCAGCCTGCGGGGTGATCGATTGGGGCTGGCCCCCCGCCTGGCTCCTTCAGCATGTGGGAGCCAAGTGGCAGCACCTTCCAACTCCCAACTGCCACTGATCACTGTCTGTGCGGTGATCGGCAGGGCAATTGGGCCCCCACTCACACTGCCTAGTGCCGCCCGTTCACCTGCTCCACCATCCTGCTGTGGTCCTGCTCTCATAGGGGCCCGATTGGGGCTGGAAGTGCCTCCACTGCCACCCATTGCCAGCATGGTGTTTTGGTACCCGCCATATTCCATGCTGCCCCCTGGTGGTCAGTGCACGTCATAGTGAGCAGTTGAATTCCCAGTCTCCGAGTCCAAGTCCTGGTCCAATGACTGACTGAGGGGACAATTTGCATATTAGGCTTTTATTATATAGGATAGGAGGTTAGGTGTTTTTTTTTTTAAACGTTTCCTTTTCAAGGAAACTGAGTAGCAAAGCAACTGAGGAGGTGACTCAGCTGTGAATCCAGAAAGCAGAACCAATGAGCATGGTCGGGCCGACCCATCAGGAGTTAAAACATCACCTTTTCAATATCATCTCATCGCCTGATGACTAATTACAATAGCTGACGTCTGTGGACCTTCAGCCTTGCACGTAGCTGCATTCTGCACCCCAGCCCCTTCCCCTTTATAATCCTGTGCTTTGAATCTTGCTGGAAGGCAGGATTTAATGTTTGTAAGCACCCTGTTTTCTTGGTTGGCTGGCCTTATTTTTTTAAAAAAAATGGCTAATATGATTCACCCTGCCTTCATTATTGGACACAGCACAGGCAGCCCAAGCCCAACCTGGAGTTTCCTGGGAACACATCCTACAATAAAAATAAAAAGACACACAAGAAGTTTCGGTTTCATATCTGCTGGTAGGGGAAAAAAATAGAGTTTTCTTGGCAGCTAATCTTAACCTCCAGAGAGGACATATTTTGAATATAAGCCAGTGGGTAATTGGCGAGGAAGGAAAAGTAAAAACATACAAAATGGCAGTTTGTTTCTATCAGAGCTTCCCTAGGAATATGTGGTATTATGATGCAGAAAGGATTCAATGAATTTGGCACTTGCCACAAACCCAATGTCTTTGTCATCTGCTAGATCCTGATTTCTTAGGTGCCTAATCCCTTTTGAAAATATATTGTACTGCTAATTCTTCCCTTTTGCCCTCCTCTTCAATGACCTCCTTCTCCTTGACCTTGGAAAATTCATAACACACTGTGAAAACAACCCTATGCAGAGAAAAGATTTTGGAGAGAATCACTCCTCAAACTACAAGAGTGCTAGTCATTAAAAAAAAAAAAAAAAATGTCCTCACTCAAGGAATGTGGATTTTTTTTTTTTTTTTATTGACTCAAGGGAGTGAAGGGAGTGGGGAGGGGAAGGAAGGAGGGTGGGGAAGGAAGAGAGAAAAACACGTCAGAATGGTTGCCTCCCCCACGTACCCCCACCAGGAGTGGGGGTCAGACCTACAACCCATGTACATGCTCTTGACTGGGAATTGAACCCGTGACCCTCTGGAGCACAGGCTGATGCTTCTAACCACTAAGCCATGCCATCCAGGGCTCTAACCCGCTTTTGAAGTGTTAGGTGAAAAAAGCCGGGTTGCCTTTTCTCCATTCTGCCTCTGTTCCCTAGAGTTTAGCCCTTAACTCAGCGAGAGGGCAAGCTCTCAAAGGTCTGATTATGTGCTGCTGTGGGACTGAAATTTGAGTGAGGCCCAGGCCCAGTGAAAGCCTGGCAGCCCCAAGTGGTGGCCAGGAGCCATCAGCCTTGGCATCTCCGGGGAGATCTTAGGAAATCAGTTTCAGGCCTCCCTCCAGGCCCATTACATTTGCATTTGAAAAAAGATCCCCAGGGGATATGCTTGCACTTTAAAGTTCAGTCACAAAAAGATAGAAAGGGGTAACTCCAGTACGAAATGGCAAAGGAAGTGAATCTGTATTATCCCTCCCACGGTACCGAGCGGCGTGAACTGTTCAGTTAGTTCTCTGGCACTGTTATCACAGCTCTCTGAACGGATCCTTCCTACCTCCGAACTGGCTACCAAGGGCAGGCTGTAAAGATGAGATCCGGTGCCGTTAAAAGCACCTTGAAATCAATCACTTGGAAAGTTAGTCCTGCTCGTGAACACATGGCTGCCGACCTGTGACCAGGCATCTCTGTTCCAAGACGAAAAGGTTTCTAGTCGCACCTCAGGTGGAAACTGGTGTTTACAGTTTTTCAACAGTAGACCTGGCTTCGCACAGACAACAGTATGAACCTGGAAAAAAAAGCAGCCAGGCATTGAAGTGGGGCCCCTTGGCACCTTTTGGTAACTTTATGCTGAGAGGTGCAGAGATCTAATGGCTGGGTTTCAGGACCTGCCAGGAACTGGTTAGTAATGAAGGCTTCAACTCCCCGAGGTTGTTCTGGAGACAATAAACATCTGTGGGCATACTGAAAGTCTCACTTTCAACTTTTATTTATAAATGCGAGATATATAAATACGTGCACTTTAACCTAATGTGATCAGCATATTCTGTTCTGCACCAACGTTTAATCCCTGGTCTTCTCTCTCTAGAGCGAGGCAGCCAAGGGACAAAACTACATTATAGCATTAGTCCTTCTAAAAGGGAAACTCTTTGGTGTGACCTCAACTTTCACACCAAAAACAAGTCATTAAAAAAAAAAAAAAAGGTAAATGCTAGGTGTACATAAAGAAATGTAAATATAGGTTAACCAGGTCATTTCATTCCATAAAAGTCACTAACGTTAGCTGCTGGTTATGTGCACGGCTCCTCGTTTGTTTTTAAGAGCCTCAGTCATACATAGCCAGAAACACGCGGGTCTCTGAGAGCTTGCATGGAAAGCAATTATACGGCAGAAAGAAATGAATAACGCTTAATGACATCGCTGCAAAAGTTCGTCGGCATTTCAGAACATGGTTTCAAGGTGTCAAATAGTTTTTGAGCCTCTATGGGCTGGTCTGGACTGGTTGTTGTTGTTGTTATAGTCCCCCGCTCAACAAGATGCTAAGTCGCTCCATGTCCTTCAGCTCAAAGCAGGAGAAGTCTGTCCCTCTGTAAAGAAGCCCCTGGTGTGGTCCCTCTGGAGAGAAAAACCTAACTTCTGTTACAAAGAAAAACCCAACCCAACCTGCATCCATCGTCCACGGAGTCCGATTTGGCCGCAGGAAAGGGACGATCACGCTCCAAACCATCTTACAGGAGCAGGACAGGGGTGCAGGGCTCCCACCCCAGCCAGGTGTGTCCAGCTGCTCAGAGCTGGACTGTGGCTGGCCAGTCTCCCCATCCGAGCTGGCGGGCGCCCCCTACAGGTCGGAGTCGCAGGGCAGGGAGCTCTGGCAGGGCCGGGTGCTGCGCGAGGACGCGCCCTGGGAGTTGACCTCAGTCTCCCCGTCCAGCACGTCCAGGGGGTTGGTGTAGGTCCTGGGCGGCGGCCGCGGCATGGGGAAGCCCACCTTGGGCTTGGCGGGGGCGGCGGGGCCGGCGTCGGCGGGCCGCGGCCGGTGCTGGCCGTCGCTGTAGTACTTGATGGCGGGCGGGAGCGCGGGCTGGGGCCAGTCGATGGTCACGGTGCTGATGCTGGGGCGGCGCGGGCCGGCGGCGCGGGGCCCCGCCTTGCGGCGGCGGCGGCGACACTCCTCGCACCAGGGCGCGAAGCTGAGCGCCAGCGCCAGGCCGCCCAGCAGCAGCAGGCAGCTGCCCAGGTAGCCCAGCACCAGGCTGTAGCTGACCTCCACCGTGACCGGGCTGGCGGGCGCGGGCAGCACGGCGCGGTCCTGCAGGAAGTGGTTGTACCAGGACACGGGGATGAGGCTGAGGAGGCCGGCGGCGAAGAGCGCCACGCCCGAGGCGCCCGCCAGCGCGAAGTGGGGCTCGTCCTCCCAGCAGCGCACCCCGAGCGACGCCAGCAGCAGCCCCAGGCCCGTGACGGCCAGCGACGTGACCATGAGCGCGCGGGCCACCAGCACCGGCTCGGCCTGGAAGTAGCCCAGCGTGTCCTGCTGGCCGCACTCGCGCTCGCGGCTGCTCTGCTCGCGGCACATGTCCCACAGGCCCTGGTACAGCACCACGTCCCTCGGCTGGTCCTGGAAGCCCTTCACCAGGCGCCAGCCGGGGGCCAGCGTGCTGGTGAGGGTCAGCAGCAGCCCGCAGGGCGCCAGCACCATGCCCAGCGTCATCGCCGCCGGCGTCCGCATCTCCGGGCGGCGGGGCGCGCTCCCGGGGGCGCTCACCTGCTGCCTCCCGCACCGACGCCTTCTGCACCGATGCGCTCTGCGCCGAGGCCTTTTGCACCGACGCCCTCTGCACTGGCGCCTTCTCCGCCGGTGCCTCCTGGGTGCTGGGACCCCGCGATCTCAGGCCCCGACGGCCCCGGAAGCGCGGGGCTCCGGCCCCGAAGTGGGCAGGGGGCCGCCGCGGGCGGTGGGGGGGCCTGCGCCCCGCGGTCTGTCTCGGGCCGCTGTGGGCGCGCGATGCGTTGGAGGGACGGTCCTCCCTGCAGCTCGCCCCTCGCCCAGCTCCCTCCCGGCGCTCCGGCCGCTCCGCCCTCCCGGCCGGCCGCAATCGAAACCACTCGCGGGGCCGGGCGGGTGTGACCGAAACCCGGTCCGAGGTGCGGGCGTCCAGAAACCGGTCCGGGCGGGAGGGGCGCGCAGAGAGCGGCGCGGCCCCGGGAGGGCTCGGGGTCCGGGAGCGCCAACGCCTGGCTCCTCCGCGGCCGGCCGGCCGGGCTGCTCCGGGGCCGACCGAGCAAAGGTCGGCCCGCCTCTGGCTCCTCCGGAGGCTCCGCGGGGCCGTGGGCGGGGAAGGAAGGAGGCGGTGCCCTCGGACAGCTGAGCTGGGCTCGGTGGCTGCGCAGCTTTTATGCTTCTCGTCTAATCTCGTTTGGCAAAGTGTCTCTCTGGTCCTGGCCCGGGGTGTGTCCTCTCCTCCTCCACGCCCCGCGCGCACCTGTCCTCTCTCCAAGTTGCCCGCTGGGTCCCTGCAGCCACGCCCAGCCTGGTTGCCAGGGGCACGCGTGCACCACGATCCGGAGGCGTGTCCCCGAATTATTGCACTGGATCGTTTTGTTCAATTAACCGGTTTAATGTGCTTAATGAAGGCTCAGCCGGTGTGGTTCAGTGGTTGAGTGCTGACTGACCCATGAACCAGGAGGTCAAGGTTTCATTCCCAGTCTGGGCACATACCCAGTTGCGGACTCAATACCCAATAGCAGTCATGCAGGAAGCAGCCAACTGATAATTCTTTCTCATGTTGATTCTCTCTCTCTCTCTCTCTCTCTCTCTCTCTCTCTCTCTCTCTCTCTCTCTCTCTCTCTCTCTCTCTCTCTCTCGTCCAGATTAAGTTTGATTCAAAAGAATCAAAGGGAATGCTCTTCAAGGATGAGGGATTATTTTCCTTTATTTCTCAGACTCCTGGAAGATTTTGAGGCGCACACCAAAGGAGAGGGATGTTACTGGGTGTCTGGTCTACCACACTTTTCAAATTTATCTAACTACTTAGGGCCCTGTGGCCTTCCATTGTTTTCGAGCCATTTTACAATTCTGTAAATTGTAGAAAACCTGTAAGTCCTCCAACTGATTCTTGTCCATAGAAATGCAAATGAGTTTGTCAGTAGAATGTAAACTGACCAGTTTGGCATTGATTTCTAAATTTATTTTAGCATACCTGTTTGCATACATATATTTGTTATTTACATTCTTTTTTTTGTTTGTTTTTTGAACTGGCTGTACACCCCAGTGCTATACTAGTTTCATTGTTATTAAGGAGATAAAAAGTTTGACATACATTCATTTTATATTGTGTCATAATTTGACATTTTTCTTTTCTTTTTCTTTTAAATTTGACATTTTTCTAAATATTCTCTTTTAACAATATTTTCCTCATAGCCTATATTTCTCAAAATGGAAGTTCACTATCCTTTATAATTAGTTAACATTAAAATGTTCTAAAAATCCAATTAAGCATTTGTTTGAAATAATTCTGAACATTTTATCTTTTCATTTAATTTTTAAATTATAGTTTACAGTCAATATTATTTTGTATTAGTTTCAGGTGTACAGCTAATTCTGAACATTTTAGGGTGGACAATAGGAATCACTACCTTTCTTGGGAAAAGTTTTATTTTATTTTATTTATTTATTTTTTAAATCAATCTTTATTGTTCATATTATTCAAAGGTTCCTCATTTCTTCCCCCTTCCACCAGGTTCCCACCTCACCCTCCGCCCCCTCCTCACCCCCCATTGTCCTCATCCATAGGTGCACAGTTTATGTTCAGTCTCTTCCTCCCTCCCTTTCCCTGAGGTCAGTCCACTCCCCTCCCATATTGCCCTACTACAATGACCAGCTATTATTGTTCATCAGGTTTTTCAATCTCCTTTTTGTTGTTGTTGTTGTTGTTGTTTTTAATTAATAAACTTTTACACTTCTAAGAATAAATTTTAAAATCTAATAATTTTAAACCTTGTTTGTTTGTTTTTTCTGCCCTGGGAATTGAGAGCAAACTTGTTTACATTAAACTTGCCCTTAGGCTATCAAAAGGTGTAGCCATTCAAGTGTAAATGGACACATTGTTTAGACATAGCTGCTGGTTGGAATTGGATTACTTGTTCTGGGTGGGAAGGGCTTGTCATTCCCTTTCTCCATTAAAATTAAGGTGTTAGCTTTAAAACCTCTTTTTGGCAAGAGACCTTAAACTTTCTGAACTTTACAGTTTTCAGATAGAAAACTTAGCATTTTCTCAAATCAATAATACCTCCACATGCCCAAGGATACACTTCACACAAAAGGCATTTTCAAATAGATCAATCAACCTCATCCAGGCCCCACACAAGGCACTCACAGATCAACATTCCAGCACTATACTAACTCAACACATCCAGATCTAAGCCTTCATCACTTGATTCAGCAAACCCTCAAGTTCCCGCAAAAGTTTCCAGCCATGTCTGAGAGGCAGCCTTAGGGCGGGGGCAGGCTGTTCCGGGCCTGGCTGCTCTGGTCCGTTCCACAACGAGCTGCTCCGGGTCTGGCCACTGCCGCTCTTGATCTGGCTGCTTCGGGCTTGGTTGCTGCTGCTCCGGGCCTGGCCTCACCCGACCTGGATGCTCTGGGCCCGGTTGCTCCAGGCCCGGCCACTTCGGGCCTGGCCGCTCCCAGCCTGGCAGCTGCTGCTCTGGGCCTGGCTGCACCCAGCCTGGCTGCTCTGGGCCCAGCTGCTCCGGGCCCGGCCGCTCGGAGCCTGGAAGCTCCCGACCTGGCTGCTCCGGGCTTGGTTGCTGCTGTTCTGGGCCTGGCAGCTTCTTGGAAAAAGTTTTAATTAAAAATTGTGGTAAAATAAGAAAAGCATAGAATGTACAGCCTTAACCATTTTTAAGTGTATGGCTCATTGGCTTTAAGTAAATTCATATTGTGCTACTGTTATCGGTGGAGAGTTCTCCTGGTTCCACCTGATTGCTGGTGGGAGTGGGCTTCCTGCAATATCCAATGAAAAAGAAATGTCTGAGACTTAGAATTTCAGTCTAATTCTGAGAGTGGGATATTGTAGAAGGCTTTGTTTCAGTGAAATTACTCCCCTAGTTTCCAAGGTCCCATTTCCCTCTGTGCTGCTGTTAGGGCCGGGAGTGAGAAATAGACTAGTGGGGACTAGCTGTAATTGTAAGAAATATTAATCATACTCTGTTAACTGTGGCTTATTAGGTTCTGATTTAAGTTCATTCTGACCTGGCTGGGAGTTGTATGCTCTGGAACCTGGAAGTCAATCTCAAAATGGGGTCCATTCTCCTTATCCAAGAACTGCCTGACGTCAAGGAAAAATTAACAGCCTTCTTGCCAAAACAGTGGAGTCCCTAGAGGTGTGTACCCTTTGCAACCTCCAGCCCACATTGCTTGTAACCTGTAACCAACATACCCATTTTTTATTTCTTTTACATACCCATTCTTATTCCTTTTGCCTGTTTCCCATGTAATCTTTGTCCTTCTACTAAATATTAGAAGCTGACTTATGGGGGAGGAGGGTAGAAAGGGCAGATAGAGCAGGTTTTTGTGGGATGACCTGCAGTACTCCCATGTTGCCGGCAATGAAATAAATAAATGAAAATGCTTAAATATGATTCAACCCTGCCTCTGCTGAATTGGCTTACCTGGTAACAGGCAGCCTAGACACATTCATTGTCCAGTTTCATGGCCATGGAAGAGATGCAGTGTGACATCAATAGGGCTAGAATTAAAGCAGATGCCCAGAGTTTCCATTTTATGTCTGCCCAGTAGACTGGGCATCAGGCTAACCCAGAATCAGGCTAGCTTCTTTTGTGCTCCCCACTGCAGTTCATCAGTCCATTGTGTGTGGGGTCTGCAGGTCCACATGGCTATGGAGGGAACTTGGGCAGGTACAAAACTAAAGGAAGCAGAGAGCCAAGAGAGAGAGCTCCTTTGTCTAAGGAATTATGTATTCCCAAATTTGGGGGGCCTGCATGAGTTCTACCCCCTCTAGCCAATCCATGGTTTCCCAGGCTAGATTGACAGGCAACTAACTTCTCTATGTCCCCCTAACTTTACATCCATCTTCCCCTTTGTCTGGTGCCTTTCCCCTCTGTAGGGAGTGGACCCATGGTTCCCTGAGGAAATAAAACTGTGGCTTCCTGGTGAAGCTGCCTAAATGACATGCCTATAATGTCTGGCCTTCCTTTTTGTTCCCTTGCTATCTTACCTAATAAAAGAGAAACATGCAAATTAACCATCACTCCACTATACCCACAGCCAATCAAAGCGAGTATGCAAATTAACCCAACAAAGATGGAGGTTAATTCACATATGCAGGCGCCCAGCAGAGTGAAGCCTGCTATGAGGGAAAGGGAGGGAGGGGCGCGGGCGGCCGAGGGAGCTACTGGAATGGTGCTCCAGACAGAAGTGAGGACATGCCTGCTCCTGGGCAGCTGGAGAGGGGGATGTGCAGGCTCCCAGGTGGCCAGGAAGTGGGGATGTGTCAGCTCCTGGGTGGCCAGGGAGCAGGGATGTGCCGGCTCCCCTCCTGGGTGCCAGCTCCTGGGCGTTTGGGAGTGAAACCAGGGGCCTATTCTTGCATGAACATCGTGCAACGGGCCTCTAGTTCTATGTAATAAAAGGCTAATGTGCAAATTGACTGAACGGAGGAGCGACCAGTTACTATGATGCGTACTGACCACCAGGGGGCAGATGCT